TTTTTTTTTTCTTCGCTGCGAGCGGAGCCTATCGCATCCCAGCGTGAATCCAATATTACTGCTGCTGATGATGACAAAGCGGCATCGCGAATAGCGTTGAAGTCACGAGTGTCGCGAGCGCCAGACAGAGGTTTGCATGTGTTGAGGAATCACGAATGACGAAGCAAAAGACCACTACTAGCTACACGAAAAACCAAAACCAGGTTTTGTTCACTATTTCATTCTCATTGATCTATATATTTGGACCAGGGCAAGGGTGACGTTTGTTTGTTTTTTCTGGTTCAAGTGGGACTATACAGAAGAGTGACGGGATGCTGCTTTTGGGCAAAAGGATGCGCGGTGGTTGATGTATGGTGCGAGGTGACTTGGGACTCATGAGGCGGTGAAGCAATATTGACTTATTGTTTTTTTTTTGGGGCGGGAAAAAAGGCGCATCGCACGCATGGGCGATCATCAGCTCGTCGTCGCCCCCCCCCCATTTTCGCGGGAAAGAGTAATTTGCACTTTCTACTGTGAATGACTTTTTTCTCTTTCTTTGTAGGAGAGGCGGGGGCCCCGGGCCTAGTCGACCTCCTCTGCCATAAGATAGCTCTCTCCATCCTCCTCATCGTCCACCTCCATCTCGTTGGCCTCGTGATTAGGTCTCACAACGAGCCTATCCTTTGCCACATCGGCATCCACTCTGACCTCTTCCTTGTCGAGCACAGCTCCTCTGAGCATCAGGACGCTCAGAGGAGCGAGTATTTCGTTCGTAATCACCCTCGTCAGTGGTCGAGCTCCCATTTGTGGATTGTATCCCAGCTTCGCAAGCACATCCTTTGCTTCCTCCGACAGGACCAATCTGATCTGCTTGCCGTTGGATCGAATGCGAGCATGGACCTCCTCGATGCGCAAATCGATAATGTTTCGCACATCTTTGCGCGACAAGGGTCTGAAGAGCACAGTAGCGCTAAACCTGTTCCTAAGCTCCGGAGGCAGAGCAGCGGCAATAGCGCCCTCCACCAGTTGTCTCGTAGCCGGTGCAATCTTGCCATTGTCCAGCGTCGTTTCATTGTCGGAAATGAAGGCCGAGCCGAGGTTGGAGGTAAAGATGATGATAGAGTTTCTGAGATCGATCACCCTTCCTTGTCCATCCGTCAAGCGTCCATCATCCAGCGCCTGCAAGAAGGTCATGTGGAATTCTCTTGCCGCCTTTTCCAACTCGTCCACCAAGATGACGCTATAAGGTTTTCTTCGCACAGCTTCAAGCGCACCTCCTTGCTCGTAGCCCACGTATCCCGGTGGAGCGCCCAAAAGTCGGCTGATGGAGTGTCGCTCGCTGTACTCGGACGCATCGATCCTGATGAGCGCATCCGACGTTCCAAAGAGGATCTTGGCCAACGTCTTG